TTTAGGGTTTTAGGGTTTAGGGTTTTTTGTGGGTTTTTGGGTTAAATATTCATTATATATGTATTGAGATGTATAAAACATTTCTAGATTGTAGTTAAGTTTCTCAACATGTTTTTCACCAGTATTGTAAAATTGGTTTTTGATGACTTTTTTATTATTATTAAAAACACATATATTCAAATGCATTTCAAGTGATTCTATGATGATTATTAACACGTTTACAAGCAATATGGTTTTTTCTTCAGTATATAAAAAAAAAAATTGGTTACAAGCTGTGTCAATGTGGCTAGAGTAGAGCCTAGAGTTGTTTTATATTTATGTTTGTCAAGAAGTTATTTACGACATATTTTATTAAATCAAACATTTACCGGCAATACGAATATTTTAGTTTTTTAATTTTAAAAAACAATATAAGACGACAGTTGATAAATTGTACTAAAAAATATTCATTTATTTATAGCCTTTAAAAAATAAATTATTTACACCACAACTTTCATAAATACATACAACAAGAAGTTGTGTACAAATGGTGACATTTGGTGACCGAATTCCGGCCTCCTGCAATCCAGGGACAATTGATAACACGTAGGACGCCAAGGTGTCAGGTGAGTATATATGTACTATATTTGGCAACCGAAAGCATGCGATTCAAGTATTATTAATTCATTATCAATTCATCAGTGTAACTGTTCGGCATATTCGAGAACCTACAGTCCTACACAACAAAAGAGTGGTGAAGTGTACGAGAGAGGGGTTGATTACGTGGTGTCTAAAAATAACAACAACAAACATCTTCCAAAATTTAAACAAATTATAAAAGTATAAATAGGCCTCCCATAAACTTTTGAAACAGTACAACACATTGTAACTGATAATTTAAAACTACTAAAAATGGATTCCACTTTCACGCTTGTTTCTGGCAACAAAATCCCTGTCGTAGGTCTTGGTACCTGGCAAGCCGAGAAAGGTGTGGTTGGGCAAGCCGTGAAAGACGCTATCGAACTTGGTTACCGACACATTGACTGTGCTGCCATTTATGGTAATGAGAAGGAAATTGGTGAGGCGTTCAAAGAAGTATTCGCTGGAGATGTCAAGCGAGAGGATGTATTTGTGACGTCGAAGCTGTGGAACACCATGCACGCACCTGAAAAGGTCGAAGATGCTCTGAAGAAGACACTCAGTGACTTGGGATTGGAGTATCTAGATCTGTACTTGATCCACTGGCCTGTACACCAAAACGATGATGGCAGCTTCCTTCCGTATGAAGCAATTCCCATCGGAGATACATGGAAGGCACTAGAAGCGTGTGTGGACAAGGGCCTGGTAAGAGATATTGGGGTAAGCAATTTCTCGGCGAAGAAGGTGAAACAGGTGCTACAGGGTGCACGTATCAAACCTGCAATGAACCAGATTGAGAGACATGCATATCTGCAACAACCCAAACTTCTCGAGTATTGCCTCAGTGAAGGTATCCGTGTTACGGCGTACTCACCCTTGGGGTCACCAGGAAATTCTATGTACGACTTCAGTGAGAAGGCTGTAATTGAGACGGAGGCGATTCAGAAATTAGCCGAGAAGCATAATGTGACTGCAGCACAAGTATGTATTAGATGGGCAATCCAGAGTGGGACTGTAACTATCCCAAAGTCAACCAAACGCCATAGAATTCAAGAGAATGCCACTGTTGACTTCAAGCTAAGTGATGAGGATATGAAGGAGATTGCCGCGCTTGACAAGGGTCATCGCTATTGCGATGGGTCATTTTGGACCAAGAATGAACACTACACTCTGGAAAGTCTATGGGAGGGCACCGAGTAAGAAATTGCAGTCTGGATCAAAAATCCTGATATATACAACTAATAAAATTTGCGGACAGTTCTTCTCCGAAATGCGCGCAAGGTAATTCTAGAGTATAATGATTAACATCGATTATGTGCATAACATTTACATAGTATGTAGGAATACTCTTTTGAGATAGCTTTTATAAGTATTGTTTCACATATAAACTCGCACATACACGCATATATATATATATAGCAATAGATATATATTCGTAATTATAATATATATATACATATATATATTACAGATACATGCGTACAAAAATAAACACAGACATATATATATAGATGTATGTCTGTATTTATATATATATATGAATGTATGTACATATGTATGTATACAAATATACACATACACACACACACTCACACATACATATATATATATATACTCTCACCCACACTTATATCTATATATATATATATATATAAAACACACACACACATATATATATATATATATGTGTGTGTGTGTATGTTTGTAAGAAAGATATATATATACATATCTATATGTATGTATATATAACAGATGTATATATAATATATATATATATATTACATAGATACATACGTACATAAATAAATACATACATATATATATATATATATTTATATATATAACGTACATACATACTCACA